CTTCAAATCCGAACCCTAATAATTATAGTATCTAACCTACCTACTTTATAATATATTTAATACTTATACACTATATGTAAAATGGTAAAAAAACATGACAAGGTATGACATTATAATATTATTATACCTTGCCATATTTTGAACCATCGTCATATTTTTCCAACTCATTTTTTAAAAGTTGATATTATAAATTGTTGTTGTATACTTGTTTTTGTCTTATTTACAATGTAAAATGTRCACGAGAGAATTAAATTAAATTTATAAGTATTTCATCAAGCCAACAGATTGGCATTTATAAAAGTTTATGACATTACACTAAAATAAAATTTAATATATGTATGATACCATAAGCATAACAATAAATTTAAAATAATTTAATCATTAATAGGTACGGAGTATAAACACTATAAACTAATACGATAGATGATAACTAATAGATTAATATGTACGATCATAAATATTAAATAATATTTAAACGCTATTTTAAGAAATACTTAGAATCATTATCGCCGGAAACTAGAGAATTGCAAAAGAAGAGAATAAGCGAATTTGCCAATACTTCGCAAAGAATACTTAATTCAATTCAAACTTCTAGTAAAATGGCCAGGAGTATGATAAATGCATATTTTAACCACCTACCAAAAAATGTCCAGAACAAATTAATTGGGTTGGGACAAGACCTAAATAATATTTTACATAAATTAAAGGTAAATTCAAAAAAATATCTTTGATCATTAAATATTTAATAATCTATTGGTGGCTGGTATTTGAAAAATAATGCATATAGTTTTTGCCACAGGAAATGTCCAAGAATGATTCTTCGGCTGCAAAAAACAACTAACTTCGTGTAATCAAAAATATTTATAAAAATCAGCGGATCCTTGCGTCAATATTATTGAATCATTTAATTACCTATAAAAATTATTACTGATTCATATTTGTATCTTTATTTTATTTATTAAACCTATTTATTTAACTATATGCGTATTTTAATTTAATCATCTTCATTATTAATTTAAAAAAAATAATAACATGATTATATTATACGTATATGTTATATCATTGCAGATATATATATTTATAAGTTTATAAATTATAACTAATATACCTACCTAACCTAATATCTTTTATATATTTTTTGTTTACAAAGTTATTATTTTACAACAATAATAATATTGCTACATATTAATGAGTTGGTACATTAAATTACTTAGACCGAGTTATACATGTATTTAAGGAACAAAATAATTTTGTTTTGCTGATGTCTTCAATTGGACTCAAAGCTTCAAGAATGTTTTCTAGAATCCTCTATAGGATACTTCTGGTTTCTGTTTCGCTTTTACAGACTGTAAATTACAGTGTAGGTATAAGGAGGTGTTTGACTTTGAGAGGTTCTCCGCAGGTTTGGCACTGTGTGTGTTCTTCTCTTCCCACAAGATACCCATGGCACATCTTAGAGTGACCTATACGGAGTTTCTATAGTAAAAACTTAAGAGCCTTTAATTAATATTTAATTCAAACTTATTTAAAGGGAATGGGGAATGATAAGAAAAATATATTATAGTTTTTTTTCTACCTTTTAATAATTATTTATTATCTTAATTTGTATATAGTAAAATAATCAACATAGTTAAATCACAGTAATTGCTTTATTAAATTTGTTTTTGCAACACAGTAACACGGGAATCGAGGGTATATGTAATAAGCTATTACTAATAACTAATAACATATTAAAGCTAATGAAAATATTTCAATAAATGAATGATTGACCATTATTTTWTTTTTTCTACAAATATGAGATTATTATATTGTTAGGAATRTATTTTTAAACGTTAATTATTATGTATAAAAAACTTAATCTTGGATTAAAATTTAAAATTATTAATAATAATTTATATATCTTATTGTACTTACAAAGATTTTTTGTGAGGCTACTGAGCTCAATAAAATAATGGGTAAAGTGCTGAAGTCTTTAGTTCACCTATTACAGGTATATTTCTTAGAGTTGTAAAAGGAAGCTCCTGTAAGATCATTGAGGGATCAAATTAAAATGTTTGTATATGGGTTCTCATCAAAAGMTACTGAGATGGCAAGATAATTTAACAAGGTAATTTATACTATTTGAGTGCAGCTTAATTACTAATTATGATTGTTATACTTATAAGTTATAATTATTACAAAATACTAAAGTACCTATAGGTATTATWTTTATTATTATTTTAAGAGATTACTGTATATATTAAACATATAGGAACTAGGAAATCAATATTTTGTAAAGAAATTACTAGAATTTTTTTTAGAAAAAATTCGTTTAGTATTAACAACAGATGAATTTAAATATWTCTTATTAAATGGATCAAATATAATAGTGAAATTCGTGGAATAAAGAAAGATAATCAAAAGCTTATTGGAAAATAATATCGTACATTTTTTGTCACTGCATGTGTGATGTTTTGTAAGGTTAAAAAATATGTTTTAAAGGGTATCAATTAAAAATAGGTATATCTATAAATTGTTGTTATACAAAATATAAATATAAATTTTAATATGTGTTTATTTTAAATAAACACATATTAAAAATACAAAAATATTACAAATATTATCTTGGAGAATGGATATGAATGTAATTTACTGGTTCCTCGAATAAAATGCTAGTWAAAATTACCATGTAAATCAGTTAGGTGCATATTCCGTACATTTCACTGAACAAATCTATTTAAATCGTACCTATACGGATTTTATATTTTACATCACTTATTTTTAAACTAAATGTTATTAACTGTATTAAATGTTATTATATTAATAATACCGTATAATAGGCTAATTTTACGACCAATTTTTCTATATTCAGCGTCCAGTTGTTGCCCGAGAGGTTTAAACATTGGTCCCGAATATCGGCTGCTTGGCACTGGAAAAAACCACCCTAAAATGTCATCTCATCAAATGATAAAAAAAGTGCTTTTAAGTAGTGCAACATATTATAAATATATTTTAAGGCATCTTAATTAAAATAGATAAAAAATTATTAGGTCAACTTTTTTAGATAGTGTAATTATTTATGCTACAATTATATGGATTATGAATAGTAAAAATAATATCTAATATACAACATTACAACTTAATATCTTATAATCCGTTATATATGTATTTTATATTATATTCGTTGTAGAATTGACTTTCTTTAAATGAGTAATTTATTTTTATTGACTGGCCAAGCCTGTAATGTATAACAATTAAAATTATATTATTTTAAAATTCTGGGAAATGKGGGCTTCTCAACACAAACCCGGTGGGAGGTCTCACGAAGGCTATAGTCAGAAATTCAGAATACTGCATTGGTCTATAGAAGTGTTGGATACTAAGTAAAAAACTCACTTTCTATCATTATAGATTATATATTATGACATAAATTGTCTTCTAGTTGTATCTACCTATATAATTTATCTATACAAATAATCTAATGTGCACTAATAAAAACAATAATAATTAATAACAATATTTTACTATATATTATTATTAAAATTAAAATTAATAGTAAATATAAACAGTCTTTAAATAAATTAAATTGTGCTTTATTTGGAGGATTTAAATAATTCGCATATTAAATTAATGAATGTGGATTGTTTGYATAACATTCTTTGTCGTTATACAGAAATGCGTATTTCATCTCGTGCACTTTCAACCTCTATCTGTAAATAATGATTAGTAGGTAAATTATTTTATAGAATAGTTAGAACTATAAGTCATAGTTACAAAGCATTTATAACATAATTTATTATTATTAAAAAAATAATGCGTGCATTTAATACGTTTATTTCTTATTGTATGCATTGTAGTGTATACCGACTATACCGCACAACATTATAAATAAAAATATAAAACACAGTAAGCGCAATAATCCATCACGGCATCACATTCCATAATAGAATAAAAATAAACAACTATGTCTAGTGAGAATGAAATTTCTGATTAATGTGCGTACTATACTCCAGTTATCTCGATGCACATTCAATGAGAGCTGGTCTGCTTAAGATTTCTAAAGTTTGGGAACACATAAACTTGGWGAACTTTACGTGCTCCTTTTCACCACAGCAGCGGTAATTAAAACTTATTTTCATAATACAGATTCTATTAAATGATAGCGGGAGACGGATGGAATATCTGCTGAACTCTTTTTCGACAAAAGAGACTGAAAAGACCTTTTGTCGATCTTTTGAACGGGACGGACCCGATTACAAAATCAAAAATCCCTTGTACAGCACGAGKTCGAGTGAAATGCGTCGTTGCTTTGGCACAACCCCCTAGAGGTTCGTATACACCACARGACCGCATCAAAGCAATGTGGACATGGAAATTAATTTTCAAAATCCAAAAAGTTTCTAGAGACCGATATTCATTAGTTTAATTTTAATTGGTGGGGGACAGAAAAGAGCGAACGTTCTAAGACGCAGTTACGAGGATTCTCCGATACAGAAAAATAAGCGTTAAAAACCACATAAGTCGAGAGGATCTACTTATATAATGGATATTTGTTATATACTACATATTATAATATATTATATAGGTATCTACTTAAATGGTTGAATTCAAAAATAGACACATACACCCAAACAAATATTTATATATACACGTTATTACCATAAATCGATACGACTGCTCAGTCGTACACAATAAACTCGACAACTGCCGTCTATCTGTATGTCTTTAAAGATATTCATTCAACACTTGAAATGCTCTCTTCGTCGATGTGTATAATAAAATACACGACAAATTCAATGGTGCGAAAGAAAACCCTCTTTCGCTATTTATATTATATTTGTTGAAAATCCTGAATTTAAAATAAATCAACATAATATATTATGGTATCAAATAAATAGATTATCCTTTCTACATTGTAATATGCTCGGTAATATGTATATTATTCCAATGCGGTTTTTTTTTTTTTGTTATGTCAATAGTCAATATACTTTTTACACAGTTAGCATCAGTACCAAAGCAATATTTTCAAAGCGAAGATGTTCCGTCCATATACTTCGTTTGATTTGCCTAACGTTTAGAAATGTTTTCATAATTTTAATATTATTCTGCGAATTATTACAAAAACATTATTARTTGCCAACTTGTCTATTATTATTCATCTAGTTTAAATTATATACTTATTAATTATTTTATATGTCCCAAGGGTGGTTGGGGAGAGGCCCGCACCCAGCTATAGTCACATCTGGTTTCGTTACTAGCTTGCAAGTAGCAACTATATTATATTGAAATACAATAGTTTCTAAATACCTATACATTATTATARTAGTTATATGACTGAAACTGTGGATTTTAATAGCGTAAAATTCTATAAAATACTTCGAATAGACAACATTTATCCGATATAATATTAAAAGAAAATCAAGATAACAGATAGCTCATTTATAAATACATTCATCACCCTAAAAGTCCTCCCTAAAAAAAAATTACATTCAATTAGAATTTAGTTCTATAGGTAGGTACATAAGTTGTTCTTACAATAATAATTATCACAACTACTTTGCATGAAGTTATAAAAAAATTACAATCAGGAATTTATAATGTTGACGCTACTGTTTAATGTTTACAATGGGTATAAATCAGTTTTAATCTTATATAAGCATGTATAATCATTGGTCATAACTATTTTACAAATCAAACTTTATTTTAAATAAAATGTATTAATTTCAATACCACAATTTATTATTAACATTACATGAAATATCATTGAACAACATTTACATTTTACAACCGCGTTATTAATATTATATCATTATTTGCATAACGTTCAAACTCTTGGAAGTTATATATATTAAGCCTATAAATAAATATATGTAATTTGTAGATTATAAATCAGTTATTTTATTAATAAATAATAATGATTAATGATTATAATTTAACATAAACAT